ATGAAGTTGGCTTTATGGACTATAGCAATCTGCAAACTCTTGTTGGGTCCCCCAAAAACTGGGTACCCTAATAATGGGTCCGTGATTAAGGGAGCGAGACTGATACAAAGTGAAGGTCAAGCAAAGCTTTATTTCGCGCTAAGCATCAGGAATCAGACCGACCGTCAAACAGACCGGTCTGGGCCGCCCCTACAGAGAGGATGACCCCTTCCGGCTTTCCAGACTAACTTTTATAGAGCAAGGCCATGTGGTTGGGCCTGCCCACACACAGGTGGCCAATGAGATTGTGACACACACAGGAAACCCACAGTGATGCTAGGTGACCAATTGAATTACAATTTACCCTAGTAGACATTTGAACCAGCCTATCACACCTTGGTTAGGATTGGCGCCAAAAGGCTCCCAAAGGGCGGGGCCCACACTCCTTGGTAGCTAGGAGACAGTATGCGCCCCCACTGATTGAATGCCTCCACCGGGCCTGACCCACCCTTGTACTTGGATTTTGTTACCTGGGACTGGTTTCCCGGACTTGCTTTTAAATAAGGTCCCCTGGTGGGGGGTAAGGTCCATTTAAGTTTTACAACAAAATGGCAGTTCAACCGGGGTGGGGCCGCTCTGGCTGAATAGGCCCTTACACTCTCTTACGTTGTTTTTAGCAGCAGTCTCTATAAGCCCATAGTGTGACAGTAATCACTAGAAAAAAACTATATCTCAGGTCAGCTTATTCCTTATGGAAACTATTGGACCAAGAGCCACTATGCTACAGAAGAAAGGTAGAGTTTTGAAAAAAAAATGACAAGCAAACCTTCAGTTTGCAGTTTTGAAAATCTTAAAAAACAAAACTGAGGGGCGCCCGGGTGGCTCAGGTCATGATCCCAGGGTCCTGGAATGGAGCCCCGAGTCGCGCTTTCTGCTCAGCGGGGAGCCTGCTTCCTCCTCTCTCTATGCCTGCCTCTCTGCCTACTTGTGATCTTTCTCTCTGTCAAATAAATAAGTAAAATCTTTAAAAACAAACAAAAAACCCCCAAACAAACAAACAAAAAAGCAAAATTGAGAGGTGCCTAGGTGGCTCGGTTATCTCTTTTCAGCTCTGGTCATGATCCTGGGGTCCTGGAATGGAGCCCTGTGTGTAGGACTCGTTGCTCAGTAGGGAGTCTGATTCTCCCTCTCTATCACTCCTGCTTATGGACTCTCTCTCTTTCTGTGTCAAATAAATAAATAAAAATCTTTGAAAAAACAAAAAACAGAATTGAGTTCCTCCAACACAATTTCTTTTGAGTTCATACTTTTTATCTAAGATCAGACAGGGCCACCAGACTTTGAACAATTTTCATTGCAAAAGAACAATTTAACTAGATGAATAATGAGTCTACAAAACAAATCAGTTCTGTTGGGACAATAAAGCCAGGAAACAATCTCCTCCAGATATTAATGGGAATCTGTGGTTTCTTAAACCACATTGTATCCCTCAGTTTATGTTCACTACTCATCTTTAACTGGTAAATCTGAAGCCCCCACAGAGATTTAACTGAATTCTTTTGTTCTTTGAAATAAGAATTGTTGGGCTGGCAGAAAGGGCTACTTAAGATGGCGAAAGTTCCCGCCACAAGACCTGAGCTCGGACAGGAGAACAAAGGCCTAAGCAGGAATCTGAGACCCCCCTGCCCCGGGCTCCCGTGGACCAATGGGACCCCGACGAGCAGGCGAAATATCCAAATAAGGGAAACTTGCCAAAAGACCCCTGAACTCCCCTCGAGGCCCCTTAAAAGCCCCCTTCTCCCTGCCTTGGGCGCGACTTCCGCCACTTTGCCTTCCAGAGTCTCAGAACCTCACCCGAGGGTGCCCACCTCCTCCCGGCGCAACTTTCCTGCCTCCCCTTCTCCTGAGCCCTGAAACTTCGCCGGAGATGCCTTTAATAAATCTTGCCTTGCACCCACTTTGCCTGGTGTTGTGTTTATCTCGCCGGAAAAACTTTACAAGAATGTTATAACTTATTTGATAAGTTCGTTGGTACTCTTTTTTATACTCTGTTTTGTATGCTTTAGTTTTGTCTCACTTCTGCTTTAAAACCAGTGACAGAATCAGGCCTGTATTTGCTCAAAAAACCTCCACAGCTTTGCTCATTCTCTGTTGATAAAAGGAAAAGGTCTCGAGGGGCCTGGGTGGCTCAGTTGCTAAGCCTCTACCTTCAGCTCAGGTCATGATCAAGGAGTCATAGGATCGAGCCCCGCATTGGGCTCCCTGCTCTGTGGGAAGCCTGCTTCAACCTCTCCCACTCTCCCTGCTTGTGTTCCCTCTCTCGCTGTGTCTTTCTGTGTAAAATAAATAAATAAAATCTTAAAAAAAGGGGCACCTGGGTGGCTCAGTGGGTTAAAGCCTCTGCCTTCGGCTCAGGTCATGATCCCAGGATCCTGGGATCGAGCCCTGCATCAGGCTCTCTGCTCAGCAGGGAGCCTGCTTCCTCCTCTCTGCCTACTTGTGATCTCTGTCAAATAAATAAATAAATAAATAAAATCTTAAAAAAAAAGGGGGGGGGGCTCTAAAGAAGAACTCAGAATGGAGTTTTGGAAAATCTTCATATCACATAAAAAATTGCCTAATCCCTTGATAACTAGTCTCAGTGGGTGACAACCAGTTTAGTAGTGCTCGGTCAAGGGTTGAGCTAGGACCCCAGAATGGAACTTAGGAGGAAGAGGGTAAAGGATCAAACTACTTTTCCTACTCTACACTAAACCATCCTGATCCAAGCTACCATTCTTTATTCTGGACAATCCCTCCCAACTGGTTATTGGAGGTATACTCCTGGGAACTCAGGGAGGTCAGAAAAAAATGCAGCCTGTCTTACTCAGCTTAAAGATTGTTGGATTTGTAGCTTCTATTTATATAACCAATTGTACCAAGCTTTATAGTAAGCACAGGGAATAAGTGATGAGTTACATATGGCCTCATCTTCAAGTAGATTAAAACTGGAGGCGGAAATTAAAGCAGAAATTAAAACCTCAACAAAACAAAACAGGTAATTATAATCAATGCAGCTAATATAGTCCTAAGAAGTTAACTTGGACAGACATATAGGACAAGAGAAGGAAGTACTTAACTGAGCCTGGTGGTTGTGATGGTCAAAGGCTTCCTGAGCTGAATCTTACACCAACAGGAAGAGTTAGCCAGGTAAAAGTTTGGAGTGGGAAATGGGAAAGACTGACCTTAGGGACAACATGAATAAAGATGCATAATGTTGTAGGGCAGTAGCTTAAGAGGTTTGGGATATATTTTATGGTGACTAATATAACACCATTTAAAAAAAAAAGATTTGGATTTGCTGGAGTTTCAATATGAGTAGGGGTGAAGGAGAGTGCGGGGTGGTGGTGGTAAGAAGCTGGAGAGAAAGACAGGATCCAATTTAAGGGGCTTGAGCTTTACCTTAGGAGTGAATTTTAAACATGGTCAGATTTGCATTTTTTAAAAGATCACTAGCTGCTCTTTGAAAGGTATATTTGGGGTGCAGCTCAGTGGGTTGAGCGTCTGTCTTCAGCTCAGTTCCATGATCCCAGAATCCTGGGATGGAGTTCCATGTGGGGCTCCAAGCGCAGTGAGGAGCCTGCTTCTCTCTCTGCCTGCTGCTCCCACTGCTTTGTGCCTGTGCACTCTCTGTCTGACAAATAAACGCATCTTTAAAAAAAAAAATGGTAAATTTGGGGAATATTAAACTGAAAGTAGTGAGATTCTTTGGGAGCCTACTGCAGTAATTATCTTGATTAACCCTTACCACAGCAGTACCAAGCAGCTGGTACTTACTGAGATGATTAGGGGCCTAGTGGGCATTGATATACAGCAAGGGAAGGACTAGCAGAAATGGACAGGAAGTGTGAGGGCACCAGCGGGGAGGCACGCTGCAAAAGAAAGGGAAGAGTCAAGAATGGAGCTTTGGTTTCAGGTCTTGCCATTTAACAATTTGGAGCCACACATGGTGGAGCCTGTTTGAAGGGAAAGCAGCGTAGGGTATACTGAGTTCAAGGTGTCTAAATAGCGGGATGGTTCAGATAAGATGACAAGCAGACAACTGGGTATAATGGTCTAAGAGCTCAGAAGTGAGGTCAGAGTTACAGAAATAGCCAGAGGAATCAAAAATTAAACAAATAATGGGGGGCCTGGGTGGCTCAGTGGGTTAGGCCTCTACTTTCAGCACTGGTCATGATCTTGGGGTCCTGGGATCGAGCCCCCGCATAGGGCTCTCTGCTCAGCAGGGAGCCTGCTTCCCCGCCCCCCTGCCTGCCTCTCTGCCTACTTGTGATCTCTTTCTGTCAAATAAATTAAAAAAATCTTTAAAAAAAATTAAATAAAACTAAAACAGACCCATTGCTTGAAGTAGGTTGGGGAGAAAAAGACAAGAAAAAAAATAATAAAAATGAGATAATCTATAAATAATTTGGCTACAAAAATGTTAATGCCTGAACTAAATGATTAGCGAGAGCTAAGCTTATGCTGAAATTATTTTTATAAGAAGCAAAATAAGACAAAGAGTAGGCCTCTGAGCAATGCTTGGGGGTTGCACCTGACTTCAGCCTCAGGGCAGTAGAGACCACGCCCATGGCCACGCCCACCCCCACGCGGCCTCCACTGCCTCGTTGAACCAGGCGTCCGTTTTGAGAGATGCTAGTCTTCTCCAGTGGGGAGTTCGTGTTTGCGTTTGAGGCTTTGAAGTTACCGTAAGTAACGTGTCCAGCTCTGTGCTTCCCCACCTTAAGCCTCTCCAGGAATAGGAAGCCACATAAATATTACCAAGCTGGCAGCCAGTGAGGCCCTTGGACCCAAGGAGCTCACCAGGTGTGGTGAGCCGGGAGCTGCCATTAGCCCTGTGCTCTGGGGAGGCAACTGAGGCCGAAGGGCTTCCACTTGACCCTGTCCCCGTCGGTGGGTGACAGGGGCACAAGCCGGGAAGGCCCAGTGGCTTGGCTGGCGTCCAGGGCTGGCCTGCTGTTGCCTTGTCCATGAGTCCCTCTTGGTGGGAAGTTCGGCTCTGCTCATTTGTTTCTCCCCTCCCTGCGGTCATGCCCGACGCTGCCTGTGTTCAACGTGTGAAAATGTTGTTTCTTGCCCATTTTCCAAGTTACTCATGGACGGAGCGTAAGTCTTGCTCTAGTTTCTCAATCCTAGCAAGCACATCCTAGTGTTTGACTCCAGCACCGGGTGAACGGTGGTGCCCTTTGCTGAGATGTGACAGATTTCAGAAGGAATAGGTTTGGGAGGGAAAAGCAGGGGTTCAGTGTGGGATATATTAATTTTGAGATGTCTGTGAGAAATCCAAGTGGAGATGTCGGCCGGCTGCTGGACGTTTGGAAGGGAAACAGTGTTTATTGATCTTTCCCTAATTATGATTGAACTCCAAGGATCTGTAGATGTTTGGGGAATTGTGGTAATGATTCTGGTTAAAATACTGCCTTTTATTCAGTATTCCAGCAGTATACCACCCTTCCTGTCACAAAGTTTTTGTTCTTGGACATACCACTATTTGCAGCTGCTCACACCAAGTTCATGTAGTTTCATCACAGTTTCAACATCAGCCAATTCGGACTTTTTCTCATTTCCATTGTGATTATTTTCCTTAGACCATGGGTTTTTTATAGCATTAAATTCCCAAATGTGTATTTTTGTAGTTATCGTTTTCTTACTGACTTCTAGCTGAATTGCACTGTAGTCAGAAAATACGCTCTTAAGTTTTCAATTCTTAGAAGTTTATTAAAACCAGTTGTGTAGTTCAATATATGACTTTCGATAAATGTTCAATTTGGGAAAGAATGTATATTCTGCAGTCATTGAGTATAGTGTCCCATAAGTGTTAATTAAGATTAGTTTGTTAATCGAATTGATAAAATCTTCTATATCCTTTTAGACTTTTTTGTCTGCTTATTATATCATTTATTGAGAGAAGTATGGTAAATCTCCCACCATGACTGTGGATTTGTCTATTTCTCCTGTAGAAGCCATGTGATTGGGTGCCTATGAACTGGAAATTATTTTTTAGTCATTTTGCATCTTTATGAAATGTCCTTTTTTGTCTTTACTGATGCTTTTTGCCTCAAGCAAAAAGCAAGCGAGGTTTTGATCTGCTGGTAACTAGTGAGGTAGATTGTATTATTTGGCTCCAATTCTTATCCTTCCTTTAGTTATGCCTTTTGTGTTCACACTCCTTTTGCCTTATAACTTATAATGCCCTCCTACTGTGAGTTCACTTACTCTGCTTCTGACTTTGACTTGAAGACATCCTTTGAAGCAGAGCCTTGAGATGGATTTGCATATTACAGCTTACTCTCTTGGACAACTGCCACCGTCAGGAGAATATACTCTGGCCAACTCAGTTGAGCCATACATGGAACAGAGCCAAGTCACTCCAGTCATACTAGCCGAGGCCAGTCTAGATCAGCAGAGTATGAGCAGTAAATGCTTATTGTCACATGTGACTCAGGTTTCATCTTTGATTGGTATATGCTGTTGTCCTGGTAATGGGACACTAATCTTCCCATTCTTTTAACTTCTGTAACAACAAACCAAATTCTTGTAAAGAACATATTGTTGGGCTTTGTTATTTTAATCCACTTAGACAATTTTCAATTCTTTTTATTTTTATTTTGTTTTATTTATTTGTTTATTTATTTTAAAGAATTTATTTATTTATTTGACAGACGGAGATCACAAGTAGGCAGAGAGGCAGGCAGAGAGAGAGGAGGGAGCAGGCTCCCCGCTAAGCAGAGAGCCCGTTGTGGGGCTCGATCCCAGAACCCCGAGACCATGACCCGAGCTGAAGGCAGAGGCTTAACCCACTGAACCACCCAGGTGCCCCTATTTTTATTTTTATTTTTTAAAAGATTTTAAGTAGATAGAGAGGCAGGCAGAGAAAGAGGGGGAAGCAGGCTCCCTGATGAGCAGAGAGCACAATGTGGGGCTCGATCTCAGGACCCTGGGATTATGACCTGAGCCAAAGGCAGAGGCTTAACCCACTGAGCCACCCAGGCGCCACATTCAATTCTTTTTAAACATGGAGCATTTAGACTATATTTAAAGGAATTACTGGTATATTTAAGTTTAAATTTGATTTACCACTTGCTTTCTATTCTTCTGTTCTGTGTTCCTTTTTCACTTTTTTCTTGCTTTTTGATTGAATAATATTTATGATTTCATTTTCTTTGTTGGCTTATTATATACACACCCCTTTTCTCAGAGGTTACTTCGTGGTGTACAGTATACATCTTTAACTTATCAGAGTCTACTTTTAAGTTATATTATACCACCTCATCATATATCATATGAGAACTGATTAACAGTACACTTTCATTTTCCTGCTCCTGGCCTTTAATCTCTTGTCATACATTTTATTGCTACAGTTGTTACAAGCAGAACTATTAATTATTATTGCTTTTGTTTCAGTCAATTATCTTCTGAAGTAATTTTATAAATAAGAAAAACATTATTTTATATCCACCCATATATTGAATATTTCTGGTGCACCTCATTTCTTTATGTAAATGTGTATTTCCACCTGGTAGCTTTTTCCTTCATATTGGGTGATCTTAACATTTCTTGTAGCGCAAGTCAGCTGGTGATTAATTCTTTTCTAGTTTTGAATATCCGAAAGGTCTTTACTTCACTTTAATTAAAAAAAATGTTTAAGATTTTATTTATTAGGGGCACCTGGGTGGCTCAGTTGATTAAGCATCTGCTTAATCTCCCCTGTTTGTATGCTCTCTCTCTCTCAGATAAAGAAATCAATTTTTTATTAGAGAGTGAATGAGAGAGAGAAAACACCAGTGCGGAGAGGGAGAAGCAGATTCCATGCTGAGCAGGGAAACTGACTCGAGATTCAGTCCCCAGACTCTGGGACCATGACCTGAGCTGAAGGCAGACACTTAACCAACTGAGCCAACCAGGTGCCCTTTCACTTTCATTTTTTAACACTGTTCATTATGAGTGCTGAATTCTAGCTAAATGTGTTTTATTCAGTTCCTTAAAGATGTTGCTCCACTGTCTTTTGGCTTGTATTGTTTTCAACAAATTATTTTTGTTGAAAAAAATGTCAAGAAGTCCTCTTTATTCCACATGTAATATGCCTTTCCTCTCTGGCTGGTGGTGAGATTTTCTCTTTACTAGTGTTTTTAAGCATCTTGATTATGATGTGTCTTATAGGTTGCTGTGTGTACTTTTCCTTGGGGTTTGGTGTGCTTCTTGGTTCTGTAGGTTTATAGTTTTCATCATATTTGGAAACATTTTGGCCATTAATTTTTCAGATATTGTGTTTATCCCTTTCTCCCCCCGCCCCCCACCTTTTAGGGATTCCAGGCATGTTTATATTAGCCTGCTTATAGTTATTGTGTAGCTCACAGTTGATCTCTTCATTTAAAAAAAAATTCTCAAGTTCTCTAATCCTTTCCTTGGTAGTATCTAATCTGCTATTAATCCTTGCAGTGTACTTTTCATCTCAGACACTATGTCTTTTATCTCTAAAAGTTCAGTTTACATATTTTTTAAAAGATTTTATTCATTTATTTGAGAATAAATTTGAGAGAGATTATAAGTAGGCAGAGAGGCAGGCAGAGAGAGAGGGGGAAGCATGCTCCCTGCCAAGCAGAGAGCCCGATGCAGGGCTTGATCCCAGGACCCTGAGATCATGACCTGAGCTGAAGACAGAGGCTTAACCCACTGAGCCACCCAGGCGCCCCCAGTTTACATATTTTAAAAATACCTTCCATGTCTCTCCTTAACATGCTTATTTTCTTCCACTGTCTTCAACGTACTGAATACAGTTGTAAACATGTTTGGTGTCCTTCCCTGCTAATTATATCACCTGAGACATTTCTGAGTTGTTGATTGATAGTTTTTTTTCCCTCCATATAGGTGCATTCTCTTTTTTATGTTCCTGGTAATTTTTGATTGTATACTAGGCATTGAGAATTTTGTTTTGTTGGCTTCTTCTCTTGTATTTTTGTTGTTGTTGTTGTTTGTTTGGTTGGTTGGTTTTTATTCTGATCTTTGTTTCAGAACAGAGCCAAGTTATTTGGAAACATTTTGACTATCTTGCAGCTCATTTTTTAAATTTATTTATTTATTTGGGAGAGAGTGAGAGAATGAACCAGGGGAGGGACAGAGAAGCAGGCTCCCTGCTGAGCAGGGAGCCCAATGTGGGACTCAATCCCAGGACTCTGGGATCATGACCTGAGCTGAAGGCAGATGCTTAACCAACTGAGCCACCCAGGCGCCCTTGAATCTCATTTTTAAGCTTCGTTTGGCTAGGCCATTGTCCTTAGTAGTAGCCTTTAATGTAGGCCTAATTTTTTTTTCCACTATTGAGGCAATACCCTTCTGAGTATGCTTCCAAGTGCCTATGTGTTATAAGGCTTTTCTGCTCTGGAGGAAACACCAACTATTCCCAGCCTTTTGTGAGCTCTAAATGTCTAACCACCTCGTTTTGTGTGATTCTTTTTCTAACATCAGATAATTTCTTCACAAGCAAGTACTGATTAGTATTCAGCTGGAGACTTGAAAAGACATGGAGGGAGGTACTTTTCCTTCCCTTCTGTCTGCTCAGTTCAGGGATACTGCCGGGATCCACCTACAATCTCACTCCCAGGGATTCATCCTGGAAACTGTATCCAAATTGCATTTACAATACTCACTTCCTTTGTTTCTTCTCTCTCAAAGATTGCTATCCTTCACTGCTTATTGTCTACTGTGTGAAAACCTTTCTTTCATATTTTCCCCAGGTTTTTTAGTCACTTAAGCTGGGAAGGTTACTCCAGTCCCTGTTACTCACATTTTTTGCCAGAAGTCTATGTTGAGACTATGCACTCTGAACTACAGCACTACCTTTCACAGAAAAACAGAGTGGAGCACAACAGAAAGTTTTCAGGGGTAGAGACCGTGCCTGGGATCAGGCCCTTTAAGACTTCTTGTTTGTTTATTCTTAAATACTTAGGGGTTTTTGTTTTTGTTTTTGTTTTCTTCCCCTAATTCCACACGAATTTTGTCTGAAAGTATCCTATTAAAGTAAGGTGAGAAAATTCAGTAGTAACAGCTAGATATAGCTTAATATGTCCCTCCCTCCCTCCCTCTTTCTTTGTTTCTTTCTTTGTTTCTCTTTGTTTCTTTGTTTCTTCGTTTCTTTCTTCTTTCCCTAGTAAGAAAAACCCTTGTCTGTCAATAAAATGTAACGTTCAACTTCTTTAAGTGTCCTTAAAGTAAGGGGGAACATCCTTCTTTGTTCTTTCTTTATCGTTGTTGGAATTTAGAATGATAGATGCAGCTCAAGGGGCAGCCATTTTGGACCCTGAGAAGGAAGCCCTGTGCTGCTGTGGAACAGGAAAATGGAAGATGTCTGGGTTCTTAATGACATTGTGAAGCCACGTACCACATAATTTTTTAAATATTTTTGTTGGCAAAAGAAAAAACAAACTTGTCTTATTTCAGCCATTGCTATTTTGAAAATTCCATCATTTAAATTGAGGCCAACCCTAACTAATTCCAATGAGAGAGGAGCATAAGTGATGGGGCAGGCAGCTATATATCTGAGTCACTTATTAGTCAATGATTATATTTTTCTCACACCTCACTCATGCCTCTTAAGCTCTCAGGTTATTTCAAGAGCACATTATAGTTGAAAAAACACATTTGTATATATTATCTAATTATAATTTGTATATATTATCTAATGCTTTCCCCATTTATTAGTTGCCTAGGGCAGACAATATGATCCCATTTTAGAGGTAAGAAAACTAAACCTCGAATGGTGCATGACTGCAGTAAATACTAAACAAGTTAGTGGAAAAGGGGGGTGAAGCTCTACTCATCCACTGAATCCAGTGCATTATCCTAGATTATAAACTTTAAAATCTATCTTTTTTTGATGGAATTTTCTGTAGGGCAGTGAGGTAGGAAACTTTTGAAGGAGCTTTTAGATCCTAATAATTTTATTTGTCATTTCAGCAAAAAGGTGCACCATGCTTAAGGGCAACAGGATTGAGCCTGGGAGCCAGAGAAGAGTGAAAAGGCATTATCCATGGATCCTATGTGGCTGCAACCGACAATGCTATATCACCTTGATTACTGGTTGCTACACCTGCGAGTGGCAGTTCAAGCAGGAGAAAAAGTCTTTACCTGGACCCTGCTGCTGCTCTTGGGTATAGAGACATGGGAAGGAGTTGGACCATACTTTCTCAGATATGGGGAACGTGGGCTGGTCCCTGCCTGTGAGAGCTCATTAGAGTCTCCAGGACTGGGCATGGTAGGGCTCTAGTTCTTTGATGAAAAGCCTACTGCAGTTCTGGAGCCAGAGTTAACCTTACAGAAACACATGCTTGTTTTCCTCATCTTCTTTCACTTTCATTTGCTTCTCCTTTTTTTTTTTTTTAAAAACTACCTCTTTTATGTCATTCATTTACTCATTGATTTACTTTTGCTCTCATTCATTTAGTTACCCTTGAAAAAGTGAAGTTTAGTATAATTAGATGTTTTTGACTAGGAATTACAAGAATGCCTGAATCTTTAATTCTCTCTTCATTGTAAGTTTCCCAAAGAGCTGTGTTTATGAGGAAAATAACAGCAAGTGGGAAACAAGGTATTCCTTTATTATTGGTCAGGCTAATGCTTGATTTTCCCTAATGAAAAACTTTAGTAAGACTGAATGGTGGCATGTGGCCTAGCCTTATTGAGGGCCTCTTACTTTAAACTCTCGGTTATATGTTGGGATTCTCTGGTGGGCTGTTTGATATAAAAGACCAAATGATGAGCACACTGAAGGGATAAGAGGGCCATATCCTGAAACTTCATGTACTTATAAACACAGTCCAACCAGGCTCTGAGATTCTGACCAGTTAGATCACTAGTTTCTTATGCCTACGATGGGAAACACAGGAAAAGGGGTAGAAATGGGAAGTTTTCCTAGATTAGGAGAAGTGTTCTTCTGTCTCCTATATCTTACCTTCCTAGTTATTCTACCCACCTTTAGCTGATAAGGACTAGTTTATATACTAGTGACTGGGAATAACAAATGGCTTTGATATGATTCCTGCTTTCAAGCAGTTCATAGTCACTTGGTGGAAGAGACAAGCACAATGCAGTCTTAAAATACTGAGAGTATTTATGTGTGTATGTGTATATGCATACATGCCTCCATGTGCCAAGAGAAGGGTTGAAAATACTTCATATAGAAGGTGAAAGGTGGTTAAGAATTGGGTAGGTGAGGATTAGGGGATGGCAGAAGAAATCATTTTGGAGGAGTCAGGTATAAGGTTTACCTTAAGTTGAACAGAGGATACAAATGGCAAAGCAATGGGAAACAAAGCTAGAGAGGGAGATGGGACCAGTGTTATTTGGTTTTAAAAATTTGATCTCTGCCATGTAGGACATAAAGAGTCCCTAAAGATGGTAAACAGTTGTTGCCTGATCTGTGTTTTGGAATGATTATTTGACCATGTGGAGGATGCATTGGAAGGTATGAAACAGGGAGGGAGACATCTTTGCCTTCAAAGAGAAAGTGATAGCAGTATATAAGGTAAGAGATGTTGGTGGTCTGGATTAGAGTAGTGATGGTAAAGATGGAGAAGAGTGAATTGATTCAACAGATACTTACTAGAGATGAGGCAGTAAGTTACATGAGAGTTACTATGTACTAAGAGAAGGAAAAGAGAGTCTTCGTGTGCAGGGTGATATTTGAGTCAGTGTGGTATTATGGAAAAATTCCTGGACTAGAGCATGTTTGGATATTATATCCCACTCTGCCCTTGGACTGGTTATGTGAGATCTCCCAGCCTCTCTACAGTTAGGGAATTTAACTAGATAATTCCTAGGGTTCCTAGATAATTCTCAAGGCCTCATTTCTGCTGAGGGAAAGGAGGATAAGAACTAAGATCTTGTGTTTTGGGAAAAGACTGCCTGTATTCAATTTATGGCTTTACCCTTGACTATCTCCAAATTAGAGCTTTACCACTGTGTTACCTTGGGCAAGTAACTTAACATCTGGTGCTTTACATGTCTTATTAGAATAATGGAGGTGGAACAGTAGTACCTATGAATAGGATTTGTTGTGGGGATGGAAGAGGTAATATGTTGAAGACACTTAGAATTGTGCTTGTCACACAATTAACCTCCAATAAATGTTAGCTATTTTATTACTCTTCTTGGAGTGACTGACTTGCAGAAGTGATCTTTCACATATAGAAATATGGGTACAAGGGATTGTGAGTAGAGGGAATGAGGTAGTTAGAAGTCAAGGGACAGAGAAGCACAGTAATGTGCTTAGGAAAAACAAATTTCCAGTGTTGAGGTAGGGACATGTGAAATGATGGTAAGTAGTAGGGTGGAAAGGAATATTTTGACCAAATTATGAAACATCTTTGTGTCAAGTTAAAGTATTTGAATTTTCTCTTGTAAACAGTGAGGAGCCTTTGAAAATGCTTGAGCAAGAATGGTAACAACGAGAATCAAAATAAGGAAATGGATTTATTCATCCATTGGAACACTTACTATGTGCCACAGTGAATTAAGACAATTAAGGCCTCAGACCTCCTGCAGATTATAATCTAGTGGGATGAGTTAGTTAATAGACAGTAAATGAAGAAAGATTATTTCAGATTGTGATAAGAGCTTTGAAGATAATAAACAGGAAACGGTGTTAGAACCTGGGATGGGAGAGTGGTTGGAGAAGACCTCTTCGAAAAAGGGTCATGTGAACGGTCTCCTAAATGGAGAGGTAGAGTCAGCCATACGTACATCTGGGGCAAAAGTATTCCAGGCAGAGGCACTAGACAGTACAAAGGTTTTGAGGTGGAAGCAAATTCGGTTATATTCTAGAAACAGAAAGAAGGCCAGTGTGGCTGGCATTTAGAAATGGAGTGTGTAGGATGGGATGAGGTCAGGGATGGACAGGGGTTGATCATGGAGGGCCTTGTTGCCATGACAGGCAGTTTGATGGTACCTTAGTACAATAGGAAGCTCTGGCAGGGTTTTGAGGAGGGTAATGACATTATTTGATAGTTTTTTTTTAAAAATATTTTATTTATTTATTTATTTGACAGACAGAGATCACAAGCAGGCAGAGAGGCAGGCAGAGAGAGAGAGGTGGAAGCAGGCTCCCCACTAAGCAGAGAGCCCGACATGGGGCTTGATCCCAGGACCCTGGGATCACGACCTGAGTTGAAGGCAGAGGCTTTAACCCGTCGAGCCACCCAGGTGCCTCTATCTGATACATTTTTAAAAGTCCACGTAAGATTTAGTAAAGTGTAAGATCTGAGTCAAAGATCCTGTGTTCTTCACCCTCCTACACTCAGTGCATCTCGATAGCTGTAATGTCTCTCATCTTTTTAGAACACAGTTTCTACATTTTTCATTTTATTTCTTTGTTTTTGCTTTTCACAGTAATGCCATAATTTAGACAGGGCAGGGATTATTCTGTCCAGTGTCAACTGATTAAATGTAGTGTCCCAAAGAGGCAGAATTCTTTTTCAGGTGATAAGGAAGCGTTAAGATTATAACTCAGATAGCAACCCAAACCTAACATTCCCAGGAAGGATTTGGCAACCTCTGGTATTACTGGTTTATGATGTGACTTTCAGTGAAGGGGGTTGTCTTCAGGGCTGTTTGAACACCTCCTCTGTAAAGATATCCTCCATCTTGGCTTTAGGCTCAGAGATCTGGGCAGTGTCCTTGCCACTTCTTGGTTTTGTGACCTTGAGCCAATTACTTTACCTCTCTGAGCTTTAGTTCTTCTGCAAAATAAGGTTAAGAATACCTAACTTATATGGCCATATTGAAAAAGAAATCAAATGAAGATAGTTTATGAAATTTCTAGCATTGTATTGGCACAAGGTAGCTACTCAAAAAAAAAAAAAAAAAGCTTTATTCCCTAACCTGTCCCCCGTCCCCCAAATTTGGGTAGGTTAGTGACTAAATGAACCAGTGAGTGATGATTGAATGAATTACTCAATGAATGAGTCAGCAAACGAATGTTTGGTAGATGGAGGGGAGGATGAAAGCAGCAGATGATTGTTAAGAGCCAGCTGCATTTAAGAAACTGTGCTAGAAAAGAAAAAAAAAAACTGTGCTAGAGTCATAGGGTAGCTCTATTTTTAATTTCTTAAGGAATCTCCACACTGTTTTCCAAAGTGGCCTCACCAACTTGCATTCCCACCAACAGTGTAAGAGGGTTCCCCTTTCTCCACATTCTCTCCAACACACGTCATTTACTGTCTTCTTGATTTTGGCCATTCTAACTGGTGTGAGGTGGTATCTCAATGCTGAGTGAAATAAGTCAAGCAGAGAAAAGTCAGTTATCATATGGTTTCACTTACTTGTGGAGCATAAGGAATAACACTGAGGACATTAGGAGAAGGAAAAGAAAAGTGAATTGGGGGAAATTGGAGGGGGAGACAAACCATGAGAGACTGTGGACTCTGAGAAACAAACTGAAGGTTTTAGAGGGAAGGGGATGGGGGGTTGGGTGAGCCTGGTGGTGGGTATTAAGGAGGGCACATATTGCATGGAGCACTGGGTGTGGTGCATAAATAATGAATCTTGGAACACTGAAAAAATAAAATCAATACAAATAAGTTTTGAAGTAGTAAAAAAAAAGAAACTGGAAACCACTAGACATTGGCAGGATGGAGGTGTGTAACTGAAGTTCCTATTCCTCAGAGAAGAAACTGTCTCACTGAATACAAACAGATAAACATGTAATTGCAGTTAAGTGTAATACATATTCTAAATAGGCTTATACAAAATTCCATAGGGGTAAAGAGACTACAGTGGTCACTCCAGCCTCCTGAGGATAATGCATGGCATTGCAACTCTGCAGAACTTTGACAAGTGTATACAGACACTGCTGAGGTAACATGGATACATGGAACTAATTTATACTTTTTTCTTTCTCTTCCCAGAGAGAGAAGTTATTTTACCCATTTCTGATTGCTTCATTTTTGCTGTCTTTGATTTTGCTGTTTTTGTGGATAGAAACTTCAAATGATTACTTTGGCTTTGACTGGTGAGTTTCATGTTTTGTATTTTCATTTCTATAGGGGCTCTTTGGTTTGTGGACCACCTGAATTGTACCTCAGGCTGATAAGATTGGGTGGCATAAGAGGGAGGGTCACAAAATTGGTTTTTCGACAGTGACTGGGTAAGAGGCCTGACTCTGGCTTGGAGGAAGGATGCTCAGCACCACCATTTGTGATGCTAACCGTCCACATTGAGACTGGATCTGGTGCAGTGGGAAGCTATTCCAGTGACTCTCTGAAACCTTGTTCCCCAGTCTTTTTGTCTGGGCTACTGATGCCTACACTTGGTCTTCATGATCTCTGTCCATGAACCCTCATGTCTCTGCCTCACCTCTGGCCTCTGCCTCTTCCTTCTGTCCCCAGGGAGCTTCCTAGGACTCTGAACACAGAAATGGGTATCCTTCTGGGCATCCTTTCCTGGCCAAACTCTTCATCCTGGACTGCTCCCAGCAATTCCAGTTTCTCTGGCTTGATGATTGCAAACTTACCCACTATTTGGTATTTGGCTGAGAAAGGGGTATGTTTGGATAAGAGGCTTTTTTTTTTTAAATGGAATACAATTAAGCTTTACTTTAATAGAAGTAAAATGTGTTTTGTTTTGTTTGAAGAGCGGGTGGAGAGAGAGAGAAAATCATAAGCAGGCTCCACACACACATACAGCCTGGGACTTGATCTCATAACCCTGAGATCATGTCCTGAGCCAAAATCAAGTGTTGGACACTTAACTGACTGAGCCACCCAGGCACCCCTGGTTTGTTACTTTAAATATAAAAATTTGAAAAATATAAAAATCTGCTTTGTCTTATTCTTGAGTGACAATCACTTGTTGGTATATTTCCCAGCATTTTTTTCTACATTTGTTTTTATATTATTGCATTCATACCATACAAAACATGTAATTTTGTTTTTCCTTTTCATTTAAGATAATAAGAAAGATTTTGACAAATTACTAATAACTGAGAATCATTTAAAATGGTTGCAAAATATTTCATGATATGAGGATGCTGTAATACACTTAAACACTTTTTATTGTTATGCATTATGTTTCCAATTTTTTTGTTTTTATGAAATAGGAGTGCAGAGAAAGCTTTGTATTCTGACGTAGGTCTTAGACTAGATTTCCACAAGTAGAGTTATTGAGTTAAGAAGAATAAATATTTGTAGTATTCATTATGCCTGTTGCTGAAGTACTTACTCAAAAGAAGGTAGTGATTTTCATTCATGACAGATATATAAGAGTTTCTGGGTTTTGTTTGTTTTAGTGAGAGAGAGAGCAAGCACGCATGTGTGCGTGTTTGCCTGAGTGGAGGTGGGGGAGGGGCAAAGGGAGAGGGATGGGGAGAGAATCTTAAGCAGGCTCCACACCCATTGTGGAGCCAAGTTGGGACTCAGTCTCAGCACCCTGAGGTCATGACCTGAGTCTAGATCAAGAGTTGGATGCTCAATCAACTGAACCACCCAGGAGCCCTGAGAGTTTCTATTATAACCTGTGATTGATAGCATTAACCATTCTTATTTTGAATAATTTTTATTTATTTTCTAGATAGGATTTGTTTTGTTTTAATTTAATCATTAAGTGTTAAAACTTGTTTAATTCATTTTCTTTTTAGAAATATGCACACACACCCCACATATCTTTTATCAATTCATCTACCAGTAGACTCTTAGGTTGTTTCCATGTCTTGACTGTTGTAAATAATGCTACAAAGAATATGGGGGTTACATATCTTTTTGAGTTAATGTTTTCATTTCCTTTGGATAAATACCCAGACGTGGAATTGCTGAATTGTATGGTAGTTCTATTCTTAAATTTTTTGAGGAAGCTTCATACTGTTTCCACAGTGACTGTGCCAGTTTATATTCCCACCAGCAGTGCACAAGTGTTATCCTTTCTCTATATCCTCACCAACACTTTTTTTTTTTAAAGATTTTTATTTGAGAGAGCGAAAGAGAGTGAGCTTGAGCAGGGGGAGGGGCAGAGGGAGAAGAGGTTCCCTGATGAACAAGAAGCCAGATGCAGGGCTTGATACCAGGACCCTGGGATCATGACCTGAGCCAAAGGCAAACACTTAACTTACTTGAGCCACCCAGGTGGCACAACACTTTGTTTTTAAATTGAGGTTTAATTGACACACAACATTATATTAGTTTTAGGTATATAACACATTTGTTTCATGTTTGTATATATTGCAAAATAATCATCACATAAGCCTAGTTAACATCTGTCACCATACAGAGTTGCAAACTTTTTTTCTTATGATAAGATCTTTTTAAAATTTACTCTCTTAGCAACTTTCAGATGTACAATACAGTATTATTAATTATAGATACCATGCTGTGCATTATATCCCCATGACTTATTTATTTTATAACTGGAAATTTTTACCTTTTGACTCCCTGCACCCATTTTGCCTTCCTACTGCCCCCTGCCTCTGGCAACCACCAGTCTGTTCTTTGTATATGTGAGCTTGATTTTTGTTTTTTGTTTTGTTTTATTTTTTTATGATTTCACATATAAATGAGATTATATGCTGTCTGTCTTTCTCTGACTTTGTTTCACTTAGCATAATACTCTCAGGGTCCATCCATGTTGCACATAGCAAGGTTTCATTCTTTTTTTATGGCTGAATAATATTCCGTTATGTATATATACCACATTTTTCTTTATTAATCCATTGATGGACACTTAGTTTCCATATCATGGCCATTAGGAATAATGCACTAAAGATAGGGGTGCATATGTCTTCTTGAATTAGTGTTTTTATTTTCTTTGGATAAATACCTTAAAGTGGAATTGGTAGGTCACATGGTATTTCCATTTTTAATTTTTTGAGGAACTTCCATATTTTTTTCCAGAGTGGGTGCACCAGTTTGGATTCCCACCAACAGTGCACAAAGGTTCCCTTTTCTCCACATCCTCACGCATTTGTTACCTTGGCTTTTGGTGATAGCCATTCTAACAGGTCTCATTGTGGTTTCGATTTGCGTTTGCTTGATGATTAATGATGTTGAACCCCTTTTCATGCATCTGTTGGCCTGAATGTCTTTTGGAAAAATGTCTGCTCAGATCCTCTACCCCCTTTTTAAAATGCATTTTAAATTTATTAATTATTTTTATTAACATACAATGTATTATTTGCCCCAGGGATACAGGTCTCTGAATCATCAGGCTTACACACTTCACAGCACTTACCATATCTCTGCCCTTTTTTTTTAAGAGTTTTTTAATTTATTTATTTGAAAGACAGAGATCACAAGCAGGCAGAAAGGCAGGCAGAGAGAGAGGAAGGGAAGCAGGCTCCCCGCCCAGCAGAGAGTCCAATGCGGGCCTTGATCCCAGGACCCTGGGATCATGACCTGAGCAGAAGGCAGAGGCTTTACCCACTGAGCCACACAGGCGCTCCTCTCTGCCCTTTTTTAACTGGATTGCTTATTTGCTCTTGAATCATAGGAGTTTTTATGTATTTTGAGTATTAGAATATGATTTGCTAATATTTTCTTTATTTGGTAGTTTGCCATTTATTTATTTATTTATTTGGCATAACAGTATCCATTGTTTTTACACCACACCCAGTGCTCCATGCAATCCATGCCCTCTCTAATACCCACCACCTGGTTCCCCCAACCTCCCACCCCCCACCACTTCAAACCACTCAGATTGTTTTTCAGAGTCCATATTCTCTCATGGTTCACCTCCCCTTCCAATTTCTCCCAACGCCCTTCTCCTCTCTAACTCCCCTTGTCCTCCATGCTATTTGTTATGCTCCACAAATAAGTGAAACCATATAATAATTGACTCTCTCTGCTTGACTTATTTCACTCAGCATAATCTCTTCCAGTCCTGTCCATGTTGCTACAAAAGTTGGGTATTCATCCTTTCTGATGGAGGCATAATACTCCATAGTGTATATGGACCACATCTTCCTTATCCATTCGTCCATTGAAGGGCATCTTGGTTCTTTCCACAGTTTGGTGACCGTGGCCATTGCTGCTATAAACATTGGGGTACAGATGGCGCTTCTTTTCACTACATCTGTATCTTAGGGATAAATACCCAGTAGTGCAATTGCAGGGTCATAGGGAAGCTCTATTTTTAATTTCTTGAGGAATCTCCACACTGTTCTCCAAAGTGGCTGCACCAACTTGCATTCCCACCAACAGTGTAAGAGGGTTCCCCTTTCCCCACATCCCCTCCAACACATGTTGTTTCCTGTCTTGCTAATTTTGGTCAAATAATCTTCGACAAAACAGGAAAAAATATACAGTGGAAAAAAGACAGTCTCTTCAATAAATGGTGCTGGGAAAACTGGACAGCTACATGTAGAAGAATGAAACTCGACCATTCTCTTACACCGTACACAAAGATAAACTCAAAATGGATAAAAGACCTCAACGTGAGACAGGAATCCATCAGAATCCTAGAGGAGAACATAGGCAGTAATCTCTTCGATATCAGCCACAGCAACTTCTTTCAAGATATGTCTCCAAAGGCAAAGGAAACAAAAGCCAAAATAAACTTTTGGGACTTCATCAAAATCAAAAGCTTCTGCACAGCAAAGGAAACAGTCAACAAAACAAAGAGGCAACCCACGGAATGGGAGAAGATATTTGCAAATGACAGTACAGACAAAAGGTTGATATCCAGGATCTATAAAGAACTCCTCAAACTCAACACACACAAAACAGATAATCATATCAAAAAATGGGCAGAAGATATGAACAGACACTTCTCCAATGAAGACATACAAATGCCTTTTTTTTTTTAAAGATTTTATTTATTTATTTGACACAGAGAGCGATCACAAGTAGGCAGAGAGAGAGGGGAAAGCAAGTCTCCCTGTGGATCAGAGAGCCCAATGTGGGGCTCGATCCCAGGACCCTGAGATCATGACCTGAGCCGAAGGCAGAGGCTTAACTCAGTGAGCCACCCAGGTGCCCCAAGCAGTTTGCCTTTTCATTTTGTTGATGGTTTGCTTTGCAGAAGCTTTTTATTTTGATGTAGTCCCACTTGTTTGTTTTTAAAATCTTTTAGGCCTGGGCTCGAAAAAGGCATGGAAGATATTAGAGAAACCCTCTCGGGAGATATAAAAGCCCTTTCTGGAGAAATAAAAGAACTAAAATCTAATCAAGTTGAAATAAAAAAAGCTATTAATGAGATGCAATAAAAAATGGAGGCTCTCACTGCTAGGATAAATGAGGCAGAAGAAAGAATTAGCGATATAGAAGACCAAATGACAGAGAATAAAGAAGCTGAGCAAAAGAGGGACAAACAGCTACTGGACCACGAGGGCAGAATTCGAGAGATAAGTGACACCATAAGACGAAACAACATTAGAATAATTGGGATTCCAGAAGAAGAAGAAAGAGAGAGGGGAGCAGAAGGTATATTGGAGAGAATTATTGGAGAGAATTTCCCCAATATGGCAAAGGGAACAAGCATCAAAATCCAGGAGGTTCAGAGAACCCCCCTCAAAATCAATAAGAATAGGTCCACACCCCGTCACCTAATAGTCAAAT